CCCTGCGTAGGGAAGTTCCTGCCTATGAACAAGTGGAGCCCAGCTCCCCTCACTTCACCCTCATTCGGTGATGACTGAGCTGCTGCTCGCTAAATTTCATATTCTCCAGGCCCTTTATTGCTGTACATATGTAACACTCTTCCTTGTTCCAGGCATTTCTGTCAGACGTTCTCTTAGCCTCTGTTTAAGTAACCTCAAAAGAAATGGGCTCCCCGACAGTGCCTGTGGCTTCAGCCTTAGCTCTCGGGTCATTAGCCCATACGTGGTACAGTCAGCCCTCCATATCCATGGGTTTTTACATCTGCAGGTTCAATCAACTGCAGATCGAAAACATTAGAAAATTAAAATCCCAGAAAGTTCCCGAAAGCAGCAAAACTTGAATTTGCCATGAGCTCACCACTCCACTGAGTCCACACAAATGAAGTGATGTGTAAGCATATCTTGCTGCAGTCTGTATGCCAATATAGGTTATACATAAATATTCCGTTTTATATCAGGGACTTGAGCATCCGAGGGTTTTGGCATCCCTGGGGGTCCTGGAACCCTCCCCCCACAGATACCGACGATGACTGTGCTTTCTTATTGTGTATAGTGGCCCAGAGAAGTGTTTGTGACAGTATGTATGTTATGTTGCCATAGAAATTTATAAGCCGAGGAGGCAAAGATCAGTGAATCTGTGTATGTTCATGACGTGGTATAACAGTAAAAGCAATGATGTGCTCACAAGTGTAACTGAAATGTTTGGAACAGGAAATTTTTTTTACTAGGAAAGGAGTCGTTATTTTTAATTTTAAGACCGGGTCAATAATTTGTTTTTATGTTTATTTTCTACAGATTAAGTGAGATACAAACAGTGCAAAAGCTGTTATAAATGCAGGGTTTTTTTTTTTTTTCCCATCTTTAATTCCCCCCCCACACACACACTTCCACCCTTGACCTGTGGATGTTGCCGTTTCCCCTTAAGAGCTGGATCTCTGGATCTCTGAAGGTGGGGCGTCCTTTCCCGCACACTCATGGCGTGCACCTGGGGCCTGGTGCACAGTTTCTTAAGATATAGCAGCTCTTAACATTTAGATCTGCTGATATTCAGGCATCTGTTGCTTGTGTGTCTTACCACGGTAGAAGTCACTAATAAATGAACTGGTAAGAATTTTGGGACTTTTGGGGAAATGATGATGGTGGGGAATAGTAGAGGAAGAACTATTTAAACATCAAAGAGCTTTCCCCTTCATTCTGTGTGCTTGTTTTTCAAAGAGCAGTGTGCGCCTGACCAGTGGACATGTACTCCCCTTTAAAAACTGATAAGAATGATGAGCTGCCTCTGGTAGCTGTATTGTGAGTCTCTTGTGAATTCTCGTCATATTCTTAAAATCCCTTGTTAAAAGCCTAGTTTTCATAAATTTATTGAGAAGATAATGGAAAAAGATAAGATCTTATTTTTATGTCAGGTGTTTTAGATTTGAAAAAACAATGGATTTTCCCAAGGATTCTGCATTATCTGTCGTTACATAACACTTACTGCGATCTTAGTGCCTTCAAACACACGCTCCTGTTATCCCACAGTTTCTGTGGGCCGGGAGCCTGGACAGCTCACCCACTTCCTCAGTGGGGCTAGAGTCTCATCTGAGGCTCGGATGGGGAAGCATTTGCTTCCCATCTCACTGGTTCTTGGTGGAACTCAGTTCCTTTCCTCGTGATTCTCTCCATAAGCAGCTTTTCATTATGTCACAGCTTGCTTTTCAGAGCCAGCCAGAGAGTGTCCCTAGCTAGACTGCCACTATCGTCTTATGTAGCACGATCACAAATATCCTGTCACCTTCGCTTTATTCTGTTGGTTAGAAGTGAGTCAACAAGTCCCACCTACATTCAGGGGGAAGGAGTTAGAAGAGCGTGAATACTAGGAGGTAGGGGTCAGGGGACCCCCTTAGAGTCTGCGGCACAGTCCCACCAGTTTCGTTCTTATTTCGTATGGATTAGAGTCGGATTGCTGGTGGGTTACTGAGGATGGTGCTGGACCCAAGACCTGATGATTCCTGTACTCTTGTCAGATGCAGAGCTGCTACTATGTCAGATCTTTATCTCTTCAAAAGAAAATATAGGTCAGCGTTTCATTTCTGAAAGGCCATTCCATACCCAATAGATATCAACATTGAATTCAAATCAGTGGAAATAAACTACAAATATTTGCTTTTACAAACACTTAAGTAAAACAAAACAGTAATGTTATATGTCACTTTGGGGTCTACTTTTCTGATCTGCTAGACTAACAGGTCTGAAGATATACATCCAGTAAGGATTGGACTGTATATATCTTCTTGCAGCAAGATTGATCTTTTATTTAAAAATCCTTCGCTGTGAAAAAACTAAAAATACAGCTTAATTGCTATGAGAGGACATCCATGTAACTACACTGACATGGCCAGCGCCTCAAAATTTCCTTCTCAGTTAAAGCCCTCCGCCTGCTCAGAGGCAGCCGTTACCCTGACTCTCGTGGCAGCAGCTTCTCACTTCCTAGTCATGGGCAGTTGTTGCTCTGAAGGCCTTTGTGACACGGTACTCATCCACTACCCCGGAGTCAGTCCTTCCCTCCGGAGGCACACGATCAGACTATGTGGCACAGTCTCCTTGCAGTCGGGTGTGACCGGGTGGCAGGTTCCTGTCAGTGGGATGTGTGCTCAGGCAGTGTGCCATCCCGGTTAGGCCCGAGGACCATCCACCTCGCTTCCTAGCTGGTCTGTTCCCTTCCCTCCAATTGGAACATGCAGTAGCTCCATTCCAACCCTGCAAATGATAACTGTCCTCGAGGATTGTGGAAGAACATGCTGGAAGGAACCTGTGCCTCAGAGTGACTTCATTAAACAGCTGCACCACCAGCTGAGACCACTCACTCCAACATGACAGAAATAAACTCACTTTTTGTTCGTTAAGCCATTGTATTGTGTCGTTGGGACTTCTGCGACTATAACCTTAAATTGTACACTTTTAAATTAGATTCAGAATCAGGTTCATCTTACTTGAATTTCCATCGTCATTTCTTCGTTTGATAGTACCACTGCAGGTCTTTGGTAAATACTAGGGAGGGGGAGTTTTCAGGGTGAGTTCAAGGTTGTCAGCTGACCTGGCGTGATAGGATTATGCATATGATTGAGCACATATTTATTCAAATACAATTCTGTTTTGTCTAAGTCTCTATAGAAATCAAATGACGTTTTCTAGTACACAATTATCCAAATTCTTTTTCATTTTAGCTTGATAGTCTTAGAGGTGAATATGGTATCTTCCAGTAAAATAAAAATATTTTTACAGACATTACAAATTAATACAAGTTTGAGACCCCTAAAGGTAAATATTTGTTAAAATCCAATTTATTTACGTGAAGTACGTCTTTATTCTTATCTTGTGGAAATCTTTGTAATTTCAAGGACAGATAACTGACAAATAGATCTATTTGGATTATATTCGTTCTAGTCAAGAGTACGTGATAAACATTTTGTATTTTATTTCCATCAAACAAACAAAACCATCATGTCTAGCCACAGCACAGGCTGGCGGGGGTCGGCCCCAGCTCCCACCCCGCGAGGCCCGCCTGCGCTCTGCGGCTCCGCAGTGCCCTCCTTGTGGCGGTTCGCCTTCACTTTACTGCCTCTTCGGTCCTGCCCGTGCCGCGGCCTGCTCAGCTCTGTCCTGCCCGCACAGCGTCTGCGGAGTCCCCTGTGCATGCCCCTCAGGCCCAGGTCCCTCCACTCGCCCTCTCTGACTTTGTGCGCCGTTCAGATTTCACCAGAACTTCAACCCGCGACATTTCCCATCTATGCTCTGCCTACCCTTTTCTTCCTCCTTCGCTCACAGCTCTTGGGTGGAAACCTGCATTTTACAAGGTTCTGTGCAAATAATTCTTCCATGGACCAGAATTCCGTATTGGGAGGAAACTGCATTCGAGCCATCCGCTGCCTGGTAGAGAACTCGCTGGGAAGTGTTCTGGGTGCTTCGCCTGCTGCTGTGCGTTGAGCTGTTTGAAGATGGGTGAGGTGTTCTAAGTGCTGCCACCAGGCCAATCTGTGGCTTTACCTCTTGGGACTTGTAAGCGCTCTCTCAGGCATACGTAGATGAAGATTTTACTGTGTTCTGTACGTTGTAAATATTGTCCTCAACATTTTTGGGGGGAGTCTTTTTTGCTCGTAATACTTGAGGAAATTTTTTTTTTCTGAAAACAGAAAAAGCAAAAACCTAACGGCCATAAGCCCACATTAAAAAATACTTTGTTTTGCACACTATGCACATAGCGAAAGGGTCCATATATACATCATTTTCTTAGCTCAGGCCTTTTCTTTGTTTATCGTACCCTCTCCCCTTATTGCTCGCCCAGGTCAGCAACCGAGCATGTGCCTTCGATACTGCCCACTTGTTTCCCATGACGATTTCCGTGATTATAACTGCGTGTGCTGTTGTGATGTGCTGTTCTTCAGTGGGATGGACTGAGTCCTTTGTTACAACTTAGTGGTATTTGAGCTGCTTCTCTGAGTCCTGCCCCCCCACTCAGAACCACCCCACTCAGAACCCCCCCCAAACTTCCTGCAGGCACACTCAGTCTGGTTCCCAGGGGTCCTGCTCTGCTGCTACCTTTGGTGTGGGGCGTGGCCTGAGAAAGGGGACATGGTGTTTTGGAGTTTGGTCGCCCTCAGGCCGGCTGCCACTGATGTGTTCATCACAAGTTACAGTTGGAATATGAGTGGCAGCAAGCGACGTAAAACTTTCCCTAGGGCGGCTCATCCCACGTACCAGTGGAAGCGACGGCCCAGGCCGCTGGGGTCATCCTGCGTGTTTGGAAGGTCACAGCGATGGAAGACAGTGGAACTGGTGGCTGTGGCTGGGCACGATCGATCCTTGGGGGAAAGAAAAAGGCCGAGGGTGGTGAATGAGCCGTCGAAGGCTCAGCGTGATAACCAGAGGGCTTCCCTGGCAGCCTAGTGCCAGGCCACGAGCAGCCACAGGCCCAGTCCTTAGTACTGTGACTCAGAGCTCCAGAGAAGGCTGCATTCTCTCTCAGCCCTGGCAGGCATGCTTCCTCGAGGTCAGGGCGTCTGTCAGGAAGAGGGCCCAGCCCCTGAGATGCGGGGTGGGGACATCTGAGTTGCATTCAGATCTTGAATCCCAGATACCTCTGGGAGCTGCAGAAGTGGGTCCTACCCATTGAAGGCTGGTGCCCACCCCAGCTGTTGCTTGAAGACAACACGAGGCTTCTTCCACCTCCCTGCCATTAGGTCAACGTTACCTGGCCAAGAGGTGCTGGGCCTGCTGAGGCCGTGTACGCGACACGGGCCAGTCAGGGGATAGACTGTCTAGGAATGTGAAAGGGAACACTGAAAGCATTTTAGCCAATGGGATTAGCTGCCAAGGAGTAGAGAGAGGTGGAGGTTGTGGTGATGGCGGATGCAGGCAGCAACTAGCTCCCTGGGGGAGAGGGCTGAAGAGGGAGCAAGTTGCGACCACTTGGCTGGTTGACACCCCCAGCCTGTCTGCTGTCGCAGTACAGGCACCTCGGGCTCTAATGCAGTAACCGTGCGGGCCCGGCGCCACGGCGCTCAGCAGGGCTGACCCAGCTGCCGCGGCTGCCGAACCTTCCCACAGGCCAAACGCTGAGTCCCCAAGAATACCATCCCTTGAGAAAACTTAGTCACTTGGTGTCAAGTTGACACACTGAACCCTCGTGTCCCCACATGTGCAGTGGTTGACCTTGGCTGGCATGGACGTGTGTTCTAGTTGTGGGTTTGCAGGGCCTCGGTGAGCCCGCCATCCAAGGCTCACAGAATCCCACAGAGTGTGGCGTTGGGCGTAGGCACCCACTTTACAGCAGAGGACTGTGGTGAGCCCATGACCGCGGGGCACAGGCTCCCTCCTAGCGACACCCAAAGACACGGGCCTGACAGTGGTGGAGTGGCCTGTAGCGGCACAGCTCAGGTGCCAGCTTGGGAATGACGCCCCACAGTGATGGAGCAGTGACCTCCAGGGGGCAGTGTGCACTGCACATCAGTGATCATAACAGATGCACTGTCCCCCACGTGCATAATTAAGGGGTCTCGGAATCCAAAGCGGGAAGTGGGAGTGGCCCTGCTTACCATCACTGCCAGTGTCCACCCCATCCACCCCGCTCCCCACCAACTGAGTAAGTCTGTGTCTCTCTACCCCCACACCTCAGTTCTGCGGGTCGCCCCGCCTCCAGACGGAGACCCACCAGGGCCCAGGAAATACCAGTGGACTCCAAGCTGTGGCTGCTGCCTGGTCCTTTTGAGGTCTTGGGCCGAGATGCCGGCAGACAGGGAGTGTGATCTCTAGCCTGCTGTGGCTGGCCCCCCGTTCATCAGAAGTTAGGGCTGCTGTTCCGTAGCGGAGGCAGAGGGGAGCACACTTAAGTAGCATAAATTAGCCTGTGCTAAAACTGGCTTCGTCGTACGTCATTCTACGGAAAGTTGCAGAACCTATCGATGACGTTAAGTGTGGACTGACTATTCACTTTTCTGCCAGCAATGCCTGAGACCACCTCTTCCCCTCGGTCTCCAGTTGAATTCAATTTAATTTTCATTTCCTTGACTACTGGTGAGTTTGAGCCTGTTATCCTGTTTGTTTGCTTTTTGGATTTGCTATTTCGTGTATTGTCTCTTCCTAGATTTTGCTCGTTTTTCTGTTGAGTTGTCTTCTTCACCATGTAAGACTTGTTGTATAATACAGATATTAACCCTTTGTTACTTTTGTTCCAAGTAGTTTTCCCAATGTATTATTTTTATTTAGAAGTGGTGCTGGTTGTACTATCCCTGTTTCTTAAGCTGTCCTTTGCTACTTAATTGAAATACCATTTTTGTTGTATATTAAGGTCTTAGAAGTTCTGAGGTCAGTTTCTGGATTGTCTATTCTGTTCTTGAGATCTTTTATCTATTTCTATTCAAATACCATGTGGTTTTGATTATAGTGGTTTTATAGTATGTTCAGGTAATCTGGCGAGGCAAGTCTTTAATTTTTTTAACCTTTCTCTTCTAATTTCAGATATTTAACATTTCATAGGTGCTCTGAAATTATTTTTTTCAATTAAAAGAGCCCTGTAGGGCTCTAACTGAAACTGCATTAAGTTTATATTTGAAAGAATTAAACATTTTGTGTATATCCCAGTGCTCTGCCTTTCCATTTATATGTTTTGTGTTATTTCATTACATTTTACGTTTCCATCATTGAGTGCCTTGTGCCTTTCTCGTTAAACTTATCCCGAGTATAACTTTTTTTTTCTGTAAATGTAAGATGTCCCTGCTCGTGCATTTCTCGGTTGTCATCGTTGCTGTGGCGGGAACGGACATCACAGCAGTCATGAGCACAGACTCCTGAGTCCCGTGCCTGGGGCTGAATCCAGATTCTGTCGCTTACTGTCCAGCTCAGGCTTATTAAAATTAAAGCAAAATTTAAATCAGAAGTTTGTGTTACTGATATTTTACTGACTCTCTAATTGTTCCACTGCAATATTACTCAAAGAATTTCCTCAAACCTTTAATATTTTCAAGATTTCTGCAAAATGTTGACCTTGGGTTTTCAGAATCAAGTATTCAAATGCAAACACCAGATAATTTTTAATAAACATTTCAGGATTACATAGATCTGTCTCCAGTTAATTTGAAGATACTTTACATAAATGTTTATTACAATGTTAATGCATTTTGGTTGTGAATTTTATTATGTTGTTTTAAGTAAGTCATGAGTAAGTAGCATGATTGTAGAAGCTATTTTCATTGTTTAGTTCATGATATGACTTAGTTGTCAGCGTTTCTTTAATGCTTCATGCTGCTTTTTTGTGTTTTTAAAAGCTGCGGAAGCGGTCAGCAATCCCAGCGTTAAGTGTTCAGTTCCGCTTGGACACGGTATGAATCGGTCCCCGGAAAAGAAGGTAAATCGTTGCACATAGGAATCATTCTAAACAGTTAACTGTCGCTTATTTAACAAATACTTGCTACGTGTCTACTATGTGCTGTGGATATGATGGTTTTAGAAAAGAGGGGGGCAGTTCTTGTTCTCCAGGAGCTTTCTGTGTAGTTCGTGTGAGGGGGAGGGGAAGATGGGGAAGCACAGCCTCTACGGTGCCACCGCACTGAGGGCCCCTTGGGAGGTCAGCGCCCGGGACTCTGGGAGCGGCTGGAGAGGCTTCTCACCTGGGCTTTGCGCTGTTTCAGTTTGCTCTTTCGGGTGGTGGGGAGAGGGGTCTGGGACACCTTTCTTTTAATTATGAAAATGATGAAAATTCTACCCGAGTTGAGATCTTAAGGATGGTTAGGAGATGGTCAGCCAAGAGATCCCGCCGTCAGAGAGTGTGGGGAGGGCTTTGAGAAGAATTTTCAGGTTAAGGGAAGAGAGCTTGGAACTTGGGGTGGTGGAAATAAAGAGACGTCCAGAAAGGAGAGGGGATAAAATTCATGATGGGTGCCGTGTGCGTGGCTCGAGCGGAGGGATCGAAGCGGTCATTTCGTATCACTGAAGGCCTCGTCTGCGAAACAGCGGTGGTGGCCGCACTGTGGTTAGCTATGCAGACCACCTGGGTTCTAATCCCAGTCCAGCTGCATCTAATTTAAGCTCCCCTGCATAACTCCCCTGTGGCCGGGTAGCCAGGGTGATCAGTCACCCCAACCGGAGGGAGCGGCGTCTTGGGCAGAGAAGGACTGCGCAGCCCCTCGTACCAGAAAGGAAGTGGTCGCCTGTGGCATTCAGACTGCCCGGGTCCCTCAGGCAGAGGTCTTCAAACCTTTCTCTCACAGGAATTTCGAACAGCCATGTACCTTCCGACATTTTAAAGTTGATTTTAAAGTATTCATCACAAATTTTAAAAGTTTTCTACAACATGATTTCTGGTGTATTGGTAATACTGACATTAATAAAACATTTCGAATAGATTCACTGAAATCTAAATACACGCTGTACTCTGGCAACTTGATATCCATGGTCATCTCTTTAAAAAAATGTTTGAGCAGGATATTCAACACTGAAATTTTACGTTTTCCCTTTTCTTCATGAACTCCCTTTCCTGTCTGCACCTCCACAGAATTTTTAATGTAATAAAGTTTTATGCTTGAAAGTCTTTTCTTGAAAACCATATCATATTTCTCTGCAATAAAAATGAGTATAAATTAAAATTTTCTGTGACCATATGACCAAGTGTTAAAACATTTTATTTCAAAATTATTTTAAAGTAGTATTAGTATACAATTGTTCAAAACAGTGTACATATATCATAAATCATGTCATAAAAATAAACGTTAAAAATCAAACTTTATTGTAAGTGAATTCTATAATGAAACCGATAGACATGATTCCCCGCCCCCTCACCCGCCGTGAGACTGAATGAATACTGCATATTGCTAGACAGAGGCAGTAAGAGGAATTCTGCTGAGCCATGTTTAAAAAAACTTTAGTAGATAGATTAACATCAAATAGTTGTGATGATTTCATCTTCTCTACAAATGGCTTTACTTGAAAGTTGTCAGTCATTGACCTTCACTCTTATGCATGTCTGCAATATGCTCCCGTCCATGGCGTCTCTCATTACCTACATACAAAGCCCGCTCCGGGGTGTGGCCGGGGGCTTCCTGGCCCCCTGCCCGCACCAGCCCGTGGTTCGGTGGGCACTCCTGCCTGGGCCAAGGAGTCGCTGCTCTAGAAGATGCCACATCACTGCATTAGGTCATACGCAGCTGTTCCCACTTTACCTTAGATGAGTTTTGTTAGAAGTTTAGTTTATAGATCTGCCTTATGAATCCATATGCTAAGGAAATATTCTCCATTTTTCTGTAGAATCTTAATTCTTGTATGAGCCAGGCATCAAGAACTTCCATCGAACCCTCTCCTCCGTCCTCCAGGACCACACTCACAGACCAGCTGCCTACCGACCCCAAACAGAACGTCAGCTCGTGGGCGCCTTCCAGTTGTTTAACTCGCCAGCATAACCAAGAGGCTTCGGTTCCACAGAAAATGGAACATAAAAGGAAACATCTCCTAAAAATATGTATAAATGAAAATAAAGCAAGCATGAGTCTTAAAAGAAAACATATTACCTTTAATAATTCATTAGAGGAAGCAAGTAAACACACGGCATTGGAAGAAGATGCTGATGAAGTTGAAGACTCCCTACATTCTGGAAGTTCCAGAGCATTCAAAAACCATTTTTGTGATACAAGGTATTTGGACGATCTGGAGAAAAGCCAGCTGATTGAAAGGCTCAAACAGGCAGTCACCTTGGTGGTCACTCTGATGTATAAGGATGGTTCAACCCAGCTAAGAGCTGACCAGGTCAGTAAACAGTGTTAGTTTTTGTTTGTTTATTTGTTTTCAGTACCATAAAAGAAACCCATTTTCTTAGTGTCTGATTTTGATAGGAGAGTTAGATATAAGATTTTAATAAGCAGGGTCGGGCCTGGTTAGTACTTGGATGGGAGACCACCTAGGAAGACCAGGTGCTGTAGGCATAAAAAAATATAAAAAATAAGGGATCGTAAGCTGACAAGGTCCTTGCAATCTGTGAGATCGACCAAGGGTTGCCTCAGCTAAAAAAAAAAAAAAAAAAAAATTTAAGCCTTTTCTTCCCCCCTGGTGGTAAGTGGTTGATAATGCATACATAGTTTTCAGCTTTTTAAAAAACTGCCTAAATGTTTTCCAGAGTGGTCATACCATTTAACATTCCACCAGCAACATACCGGGCTTCCAAAGTCGCCACCTCCTTGCCAGTCCTTGTTGTCCACGTTTTTGGTTTTAGCCATTCTAATAGGTTGGAAGTGGTAGTTCATCGTCCTTTTAAATTGCATTTCCCTAATAACTAATGACATTGAGCATCTTCTGGTGTGCTTATTGGCCATCTGTATATCTTCTTCGGTGAAATGTCTGTTCAGATCTTTTGCTCATTCTTTAATTGGGTTATTTGTGTTATATTTTGGACCTGTAAGGGTTCTTTATATATTCTGATACAAGTCTGTTGATTTGCAATTCTCCAAATCTGGCTTGTTTTTTCAATTTTTTGATGATGTCTTTTGAAGCACAAAAATTTTTTAATTTGATGGACTTCAATTTATTAATTTTTGTCTTTTATTGCCTGTGCTTTTGTTGCTATACGTAAGAATGCTTTGCCTATCCAAGGCCATGAAGATTTACTCCTATTTTCTCCTAAGCATTTATAGTTTTAGCTCTTACGTTTAGATCTGTGATCCATTTTGAGTTAAGTTTTGGATATTGTGTGAGACAGGCACAAAGCCACCCTTTTGCATGTGGATGTCTAGTTTTCTCAACACTATTTGTTGAAAAGACTCTTCTTTCCCCATCAAACTGTCTTGATAGTTTTATTGAAAATCAATTGACTATAAATATAAAGGTTTTTTTACAGACTTTCAACTTTTTCTGTTGATAAATATGTGTATCGTCCTGCCAGAACCACACTGTCTTAATTACTTGAGCTTTGTAGCACGTTTTGAAATCAGGAAGTATGAGTCTTCCAGCTTTGTCTTTTTTAAGAAAAAAAAGTAGGGTATTCCGGTTCCTTTGCATTTTCATATAAATTTTAGGATCAGTTTGTCAGTTTTTACAAACGTCCAGGTGGGATTTTGATACAAATTATGTTGAATTTATAGATTAATTTTGGGAGCTTTGCCATCTTAACAGTATTGGGATTTCTAATCAACGAATTGGGGGTGTCCTTTCATCTATTTAAAATTTCGATTTCTTTTCGCAGTGTTTCGTAGTTTTCAGTGTAGTATACAAATCTCACTTTACCTTTGATTTTTGAAAGACATTCTGCTGGCTAAAGAATTGTAAGTTGATGGTTTTTTCCTTTCAGTGCTTACAGATGATCCTCCACTGTCTTCTAACTCGCTTTATTTCCCACAAGAAGTCTTCTGTCATCCTTATTTTTGTGTCCTTCTAGGTAATGTGTTTCTTTTAAGGTTTTCTCTTTATCACTGGTTTTAAGCAATTTGATCATGATGTGACTTGGTATAGTTTTCTTTGTGTTTCTTGTACTTGGGGGCGGTTATTGATCTTCTGGGTTCTATAGATTAACCTAGGAGAATTGACATTCTTATTTCATTTTTGTAGTCCTTGTGCATGGTGTATGTCTCTGTATTAGGTCTTCTCTTTTTTCTTTCGCCAGTATTTTGTAGTTTTCAGCCTACTGAGCATGTATATGTTTTGTTGATTTCTAAGTATTTCATTTTTGGAATAGTTATTATAAAATGGTAATTTATTTTTTAAACAAGTTCATTTTTACATATTTATTGCTAGTGTATAGAAATACAATTGATTTTAGTGTTTTGATCTTTATCTGCAACTTTGCTAAGTTTTTTCGTAGATTCCTTTGGGTTTTCTACAGATATTTGCGCCATCTGTAAATAAGGACAGTATAATTCTTCCTTTCTGATTCATATGCCTTTTATTTTCCCTCGTTTTATTGCACTGGCTAAGACTTCTATGATGACGTTGGATGGGAAGGAGGCCAGAGTAAGATCACGGATTTGGCTTTTGGCCTTGATGGTCATTAGAAGAGCTGTTCGTTACAAATTTAATTTTAGGCCTTTTCTCTCAGTTATAAAACATGACTATCTTTCTTGAATAAATATGTCAGCCATCTTCAGTGATGAAACTTACTTTCACTGTGTGTTCAGACTCCAGATTCCTCTGTTAAAGGGATCGTGATGTTGCTGCTGAGCCCCCCGGAAGGAGGCTGCGGGCCCCCAGGTGCCTCAGCCCTTGGCGGTGCGCTGGCGGGAGGCCTCACTGCCCGTGACTGCTTCATCTACGTGAACACAGAGCACTCTTGCACATGGGGCCGAGAACAAGAGGCACAGACTGAATTCGCCAGGTAAGAAGTCTTCACTCATTGCCTTTGATCCTGCTTACGTGTGGGCTTTGCCCTAACGTTCCCCAGGCTCCTATTTTAAACTTTCAGAAGTTTCAAGTGGGCAGTGAAAATTAAATGGATGTAAATGACAGAAACATCTGCAAACACTGGTCCTCTCTCTGCACTCGCCCCTGAAGAGCTTCTGGCATGGGGAAACTTGCTCCAGGATACGAATTTCCATCTCAAGGAGCAGTTGGTGACAAAAGCATCATCCCTGGGCCTGAAAACCTGCTGTGGCTGCCAGAGTCCCAGCTGGTTTTCCTCATGGCACACGCTCACTCAGTCGCAGCATTAGAAGTTAGGTCATCCCTGCCTTCGAACAGCAAACTGTCCTCCGTCACCAACATCAGAGCTTCGTCCTGTGCGCACACACGGGTGTCACACCTGGTCCCACCCTCTTAGGGTCTGAGAACCCTGAGAGGCCCCGCTGTGGGCTGGAGCCGTCCTCGGCTGGTGTTGGCCTAACGGACTTCTGCCTGGAGTCAGGGCGTCCAGCTCCTGTCTGCTCAGCCCCCTGAGCTCAGGGTCAGTCAGCTGCCCCGAGGGAGCTCCTTGGAGCCACTGCGCTGGAGGGAGTTCAAGGGGGCTCCGGGCAAGTGGGTGGGGCCACGCTGACCCTTCCTGCCTAACCGCCTCCCCGAGCCCTGGCTGAGTCTCAGGTCATGGCTGTGTGTGTCCCAGCCCACTAATGGTGACCTTCTCCATGCTCGGTTTATCTGAGACACTCGCCTGGGGCCTGTGCTACTCGGAGGAGCCCCCCGCAGGGGCCCATGTGGTGGCCAGATCCACCCTTGTGATTCTTATTATGAACCCTGGACACACTTCAGCAAAAGCTATCAGAGTTTTTGAGGAGCCGCATTTATTATCCACAGATCCTGGAGGGCACACACCATCCCGAGGGCCACACAGCAGGGTTTGTGGGGTGCGGGGAGAGAGAAAGCGTGGACCTGGGCCTTTATTCCAGGTTGAGGGCGAGGTGCCAAGGTTTGAGGGTCCAGTCTTTATCGGCTAATGTAAAGCATGAGCGTGGGCATTAGGGCGCGGGAAGGGAAAAGCGGGGTCACTCCAGCAGTCAGTTGTCTTGGTTACACAGGGCTTTCTGAAAGAGGGCCCTTCGTGTCTGGGGGTGGCTTAGAGCCTTGTGTGGTTGGTTTGCTAGTAGCTGTGTCCTACAGCTGGCGACGTGTCTATTCGAGGTGGACGTCTTTAGAAACGAATGCGTGGCAATCAGGAGCTTAGTGCCAGGCACTTCCACTACAGTAATTTTAGGTGATGATGAAACAGTGGCAAATAGAGCTCGCTTCCCAAGAACCCACAACCGTCTTCTTACATGGATGTCTTCTGAAAGAACGGTGCGCCGTTTCTGTTCTGCGGTATCGCTGGCGTTCGGAAGGCCCTCTCTGAATCCCGGGATTTGTATCCTGCTCCGCTTGGTCAGCTCATAGTCACTTCATTAACACGTGCAAAAGCGACCTCCTCTCTTCCCCGAACCGGCCCCCTGCAGCCTTGGCCATCCGCGCAGCTCGGGCTAGCCCAGCATGAGCCCAGCTCCTAAGTCACGGCAGCGTCTTTTTTCTTTTTTAATTTAAATTAGTTTCAATTATACAGCACATTGGTTAGATGTCTATATAGTTCATAAAACAATCCCCCCAGTAGCTCCCTCTCTGACCGGCCTTCCGTGACCGGCCCCACACCCAGTCTCCCCACCCCCGCAGCTCTCTGGAAGACCACCTGCACCTGCACCTGCACCGTCTGGGCCTTCCCTATTGGCCATGGGAGAGAGTTCAGTATGAGCAGAGGGGAGGATGTTTGGAGGGCGTGCTGGTGGGGGGGCGGCGGGCGCGGCGTGGACAGGCGCCTGAGCCTGTGTGCTCTGCGCAGGAGTCTGGGTCTTAGTCTGTAAGTCGTGGGGCTTTGCCCAGGGTGGGCTCTGAACAGCCACGCGGCCTCGGGCTCATCACTGTCTCTCTGTGTCTCAGCTTCAGCATCTGTAAGATGCAAGTAGTAAGGGACGCCTGACCTCACGTATGCAAGGCTCCTAGAGGAGTGTCGGCGCAGGGCCCTGAGCGGCAGCTGCTGGTGTCTTCCCAAGGGCAAAAGTTCTGAGCGAATGTCTGAACCAGCACGTTTCTTTCGATCTTCTAGGAATGTGCTGTTGCAATTGCTGACACGTAAGTGTCCTGTTATTTGTTTCAATGCGAAGGATTTTGTGAGGACGGTGCTGCAGTTTTTTGGCGACGATGGCTGTTGGAAGCGTGGTAAGTCACAGCTGGGACCGGAGTGCAGGAGGCCAGCACTTGGGGCTGGCGCCCGGAGCGGGGACAGCCTTGTGGGGCTCAGCCCACCACCTGCAGGGTCTGCACCGACTCGGGACTTAGTGTCAGAGCCGAGCTGAATTGTTGGACCCCCAGCCGGGGTCGATGGGACTGGAGGAGTGTGGCGTGATGTCAGAGGTGGTGCTAGAAAACAGACACCCGTCACCCAGTTTTAACAATTACCAGCTGTGTCCAGTATTTTTCCCAATATAACACCCCACGTTTTCACCCCCAGGTTATTTGTAGCAAAGTCCAGGCGTAACATGATTAATCTGTAAATACTTCAACTATATGACTAAAATACGAGGATTTCATGTTTAAGACTATATCATCTCCGCCCCCAAATTCACAATGACCTTTTAGTATCAGGTATCCACTCAGGGCTAGCACTCCCACAGTCTTGAAATATTTTTGTTTGTTTTTGTTTTTTATAGTTTGTTCGAATTGAGAGCCATACCTGGGATAGGTGTGATATCTTTCTTAAATCTCTTTTAATCTGTATATTCTCTCCTTCTGCTTTATGTCCTTGCAATCGATGTGTCGCGTTGATGGAAGCAGGCGGTTTGTCCTGCGAGGTTCCCCACAGTCTGGATTTGTGACCACACCTGCTTCTTGACATGCTCTTCTCTTCTGTGTCTCATAAACTGGCAACCGGATCCTGGGGCTTGATCAGATTCAGGCTGATTTCGGAGGGCAGGGCTGACCCTGACCCTGACCCTGACCCTGACCCTGACTCGACAGCTCTACCCCTAACCCGAAGCGGTGTCGTGTCCTCCTGTGAGGAGGCTCAGTGTCTGGTCATGTATCTTTGTGCTGCTCGGACTCCATCCCACATGTTGAGTTTCCTTCTCTATCTTATATTTAGCACTTTACCTAGAATATATTTTTAATCTCTTCATTTCTTTTTTACTAAAAATATTATTCTTTTCTATTTTCTTTCTTAAGGCATGATCTATTGCACTATTTGTTTTTGTGTATGGCCAGTTTTTTATTTCTGAAATTTTTTGTTTTATTTTTCTTTACCGAATTCTTTCATTTCTTTGTTCAATTTTTCTTTTTCTAAGTCACTTAATTTCTAAGTCCTTCTAATTCTGATTTATTTTTCATAGATTTATTTAATTTATTTAACTAATTTTTAAATAGATTTATTTAATTTTTTAATTATTTAATTTTTCTTAGGTTGTTTTAAATGTTTTATTGGCATTTCTTTTTCAACTACTGGCATTTTCTCCCCGGTGTGGGATTTGCTCTGGCGGGGTCCGTTCGTTAGATACAAGGGTTTATAGGGCCCAGCCCCCATTCTAGCACTGTCTGGCTTTCCTCAAGGATTTTCAAAAATACAAGTTGATAAGAACGCTTTATTTTGAAACATTAGAGCTTTGAAAAGGCAAGTAGAAAGAAATCGCCGTCCTGGGTCAGTTAGCATTCCCAGACGGTGCCATGGAAAGTCATGGCCAGCCGCCTCAGTGGCTCGCAGCCAGGATGACTGCCGACTTCCTCTCACCTGGAGTTCCAAACCTGCCAGCGTCAGACTTCCCGGGCGCCCAACAAAAAGACATGAAGTTGGCGGCTGGTGACCGTAAACCTCTTAGACTGGTGTCAGTGGAAATTGCCCGAAGGCGAACTCCTGGGCTCGTGTGACGTGCTCCGCAGTTCCAGTCCTGTTCTAAGGCGAACACCTGACTGCATAGCACAGTTCTAAGTGTTAAGGGAGCTTGGAAAGTCAATCATGTAGGGTTTGGATTTATCAGTCCCCCCATCCTATTATAACCACCCCCCACAACATGTCCAAAATACTCTAGTACCAACCTTTCCTCTTTAGCAAATATCATTTTTATTTTTTAGAAGCACCTTCCCATATGTCTCCCAGATCCACACAGTACTCTTTCCTCTCGGTTTTCAGATGAGAAATCTAACACTTGGGGGGCAGTGCCCCCCTCCCCACAGGGATGTCTCACTCTTGCCATTTCCACACGTCATGATGCAGGACATCTGGCAGGCTCACAGGAAGTCCTCATGGCAGGGCCAGTGCCCAGCATGTCAAGCATCTGGTCCTCGCGCACCCCGCCCGCCCGCCCGCCCCGGCACTCGGTGACGAGGACGCCGTGTGCTCAGGAGCAGGGTTCCTGGACACCCTTGCGATGCGGGGTCGGGGTGGCCTGGGAGGGCAGCCCAGGGAGAGGCCGGAGGAGGGGAGGCCTTGGGAGGAGTGGAGATGCTGGAAGGGCATCTGGAGGGGGACAGGTGCCTGGGGCGGCGAGGGGCCAGGCGGATGGGGCGCAGGAAGAGAAGGAGGACGGTGGGGAAGGAGAGGCGGCAAGCGCGGCTGGGCGTTCAGACTTGTGCCTCTTTCAAACCCAAGAGATCCGAATTCCCTGGTAGTTCGGAGCCTCCTCCCTTTCTGGCTGTGGGGCTGAGTCCCACCAGACTGGCCAGGACCCGGGTTGTGGAGGCCGCTTGTCAAAGCTTGGAAATTCCTCGGTGTTGACAGAGCGTCACTTCGCGCTCAGCCCTGGAACTCGAGGGGGTGGCTCGTAATGCTGCGATTGTTCATCTAAACCTCGAGGACCTCGTCAAAGCGGGGAAAGCACCATTATTCATTTTTCCTCGGATGATTAAATGACCTTCTTCTCTTTAGTTGCTGATTTTGTGGGGCTAGACCCCAGAATTGCTGCATGGCTTATAGATCCTAGTGAGGCCGCACCCTCTTTTGAAGATTTGGTGGCAAAATACCTCGGAAACTCTGTCACTGCCGAAGCGAGCAGCGCGCACGGGAACGCCTCGGGCGACACGGTGGTGAGCTGCTCTGGGTTTGGTTCGTCAGCATCAGCGCGGCCCAGCCGTTCTCCAGACACTGTCCGCTCCGCGGAGCGCCTGGCAGCACAAGGAGCGTTGCGGGCATTCGCTTTGCTCCTTCAGTGCAAATGCTTCACCTTTCACCCCAACATCTCGGGGAGGATGTGGGTAAGGGTGGGGTTTTCTGTTCCTTGGAGAAGCTATTCCCAAGGAATTCTATTCACCGCCCGGCCCTTCAAAATGGACCTGGGGCGGCGACTCGCCTTTTCCTTGAGTGGAGAGCCGCTTGTTTATGAATTCTCCGTGCTGGTGACGTGGCCGCCATGGCAGGGGGCCTGGGCCGGCCACTCTCACTCCTCAGCACCCCCACTCCCCCCAGGGAGGCACTGCTGTGAGAAGCAGCAGTCTGGAGATGCACAGGTGCCGCCCCACAGCAGGCGCCCGGCGGGGCCAGCAGGGCCCTTGACCACTCTGTTAGGCCTCTCAGAGGTAGAGTACCGTGGAAAGCTCGACTGGGGGAGCAGGCCGGCTGTGGGGTGCGAGCGGAGGGAGCAGGGCCGGTGGCTGTGGGAGCCCTTTGTCCCACAGACCGTCTGTGTCAGGGGCTCACTTGCCCTCCGTGTACGGGGGGCCTGTGGGAAGTCCGGGGTTGTTCCTGGCTCTGAGGAGAAGCAGAACCAGACCTGCAAGAGAGGCAGCTCAAAGGACCCAGGGGACAGGAGCCCACAGGCCCGAGCCAGCATGAGCCATGGCTTTCGTGTTCTGTGTCACTGCTTCCATGTTTGCGCCCTGGAGGGTAGGCGGGGGCGTGAGGTAGCTGTCCTACCCAGATCCCATACTGTCCCCAAGCAGAAGCTGAAATCTCACCCCTGAGAGCAAGAGCTGTCCACCTCAGTGTTATCAGTCCCAGTTTACAGGTGACAAAACTGAGACTCAGGAAGGTCCACGTGTTAATGCACCTGGCCCAAGGTCAAGTTGAGGCTATGGTGCAAGACTTGGATTCTGACCAGAAAATCTAGTTTTTTTTCTAGCATAACACATGCATAAGTCGGGTGGGAGTGGCCACAGGGGACAAAGCACCAGCTCAGCGGGTGCCCTCTCCCTGACAGCAGCTGCTACGCCCTGCAGCCCCCTGCCCTGGCCTCGGGGTTCCACGGGGAGCTTCACCCAAGGCCTCAGCCACTCCAGCCTCGGAGGGCCTCCCCCTGTACCTCACTGGCCAGCCGTTGTCGGCACGAGGGGGCCGCTAACCTGTGAGATCTGCCTCCCACCCCGAAGGCGTGACTGGCGGAGGCGGGCAGGGTCCTCGATGGAGCAGTGCCCCCCCAAGACCTCTGGGAGGGAGCGGAGATGCGGGCGCCACCACGGGTCCGCGAGCCGCCGGGGAGCTCTGTCTAGCCCGGTTTAAGTAGGAGCCCCTGGTCAGCTTTGGCCTTCAGGAAGCTCATGCCGCAGCCAGCCCTGTGGCAGCCTGCCAGGTGGCAGCTGAGAAGGTGACGTGGGTGACGTGACTGTGCTCACGGCAGCTCCCACCGAGTCCTTCCCAGGACTGACCAGAAACAAAGGCCAGCCAGCCACAGCCAGCGCCACCTCCCATGCTGCCGGCCTCTGCCAGGGGCCTTTGGCAGAAAGGCTGCGTCTGACGGTCCAAGCCCGGGAGTCCTGTGGCAGAGGGCGGTGCTTGGTGGGAGGTGCCGATGCTGGCTTCGGGGCAGGCCGAGTGGTGGGGGCTCAGCCCACCCCCAGAGACTCAGTGTTTGTGTGGTCCAGGACAGGATGGCAGTATGGCACGTGCCCGGGGGCTCCTCCGCTTGCTCCTGGTGGGCGAAGGCTGTGGGAGTCGAGGGGCCAGGTCCACGTCCTCCTGTCCCTACCACGCGTGGTCTTCACACCATGGGCACTGGCTTCCTTGTGGCTCACTACCTGTAGAATGCGGAGAAAAGCAGGTTGGGAGGAGGTGTCAGGCGCCAGGTAGCTTCATCTGCCCAGTACGTTCCACAGCGTGGGAACGCGCCTGCTCGGGGTGTTCGGCGATGCGACAGATGTGTGGTGTCTGCCGTGGAAAGACGCGTGCGACCTAGCAGCAAACAGTGCTGTGAGATGTGTCGCTTCCAAACTGAGGTGATCACTGCCGCCAAGTTTGCCTAATTTTTAATACTTTTGATCTTTTAAAGAATCAGAACATATGTGCGAACCTGAGGACACTCTACAGACTTACAATGGACCTCTGTTCTCAGCTGAAGGCAAGGCATTTCATTGTAACTTCCGGGGAGCGGGCACCTCGCTCACCGGCCGTCGGGGGGCGCCTGTCACTCCATCCGTACTCGCAGGAAGCGACACCCGTGGTGCCTCTGCATGTGCGGGAAATAGCATTGAGTTCTAGGGCCACGTCAACTGCATCACAGGGCGGTCCAGATGATAAGACCCGGAGTTTTAAAATGTTTTCTAGGGTGGACAACAACTGCAGCATTTTTTAGAAGCCTCCAATTCAAATGGAATGTTTCTAGTGCCGCAGCTAACAAAAGCTGAGTTTATTTTAGTTAATGGTGAAATGCTTAGAGTCTCATTAGGAAGCAGAGGGCATTTGCAGAAACAATCGAGAAGAGTTGAATGAAGGGATTCTGTCCAGGGCGAGGGCAGGGATAAGGGAGCCAGCAAAGGATGGAAAAGCCTCTGGGGACAAGCACTGGCTGGCAGCTTTCCCAGCCCTGGGCTCGAAGGGCGAGCCGTTCCCAGGACCCGAGTCGGCAGCAGCCTGCAGGGGGCTGCTGGTCAGGAGCCAGGCCCCCGAAGCTGTGGCCGCGTGGGGAGAGGGAACCCACTTGCTGCCCCGAGTGGGCAAAACTGGCCTGAGAGCAGAGAAGGGGCCCAGGTGACGTGGCCTGGAGGGGCAGGTCACGAACGGGAGGGCAGCGGGAGAGCGGAGACCCTGAGAGGGCACGGAAGGTGACCGAGTGCATGGCGCGCAGCTTCATGGTCCCGGTGGAGGTGACCTGAGGCGAGGGTCTCGCTTCTTACCACATTAACCTATAAACCTGCAGAGTCAATGCGCAATCAGTGAAAATTCTAGTCACGTTTTTGGGAATTCTGTAAACTTATTCTGAAATGGAAATGGAAGAGCACAAATCCACAAACACCTAAATCACACTCAAAAATGGGAAAAATTAAAGAAAATTGGTAGTGGGCATGTCCTACCTATTTCTGTGTACCAGGTCTGGCCATTAAATAGGATCCTTGAAGGAAATAGGGGTTTCCCGAGGAAGGGGGGCCGGGAGAGGAGTGGCTGTGGGGCAGGAAGCCCCAGTTCCTGCCTGTGAGGTGCCCTAACTCTAGCTTCACAGAGCGAGGCCGTTCAGCCAAAGGTAGGCAGAAATGATCATTCAAAGGTAACACTGGTTTTTCTTCCTGTGAAACAGGTTTACGGTTTATGGCAACTATTTTGTACTTTGGAGCTTCCTCTGATACCAATTTTGGCAGGTATGCTACCATAAAGGTGATGTACAGTCATCTTTCTAGAGAATTCTTTGCACTGTTTAGGAAGGGCTGTTTCTCTCAGCTTATTCCAGGGCAAGTAGAGTAGGACGGGCACTGACGAGGTCGTGGGCCCTTTATTCTCCCGTCTGTAACAGGAGGGGTTGGGCCGCATCCCCCTTGGTGTAGTAGGACTAGAAGTTTCTGGCATCTGGGTCCTAGGGGACGCTCCCGTGCCGTCTGGCTCTGTCGCCGGCCCTAGCCCAGGGGTGATGGCCCATGCTACTCAGAGCAGCCATCCGGGAGGACGCCTGGATGTGTGAGATGTCAGCAGTTGTCCCTGATTCTGGCGTGCTGTCCTTTTCGCCCCCTTCATGGGATCCCTTCAGAGAACTGTGGCGGGGTTCTCCTCCGCCTCTGCCCAGGGCCTGCTGGGGCAGCTCCCCGTGCAGGGTGGCTGGCCACTGTGCGCCCCCGTGCCCACCACCGGCACTGCCGGGCTCCAGTCTGGCCCGAGCAGACACTTGGCTGGGCCGGCTCGCAGCGGGAGCTGTCACCACCACCCTAACGAGGGCGTGCAGCCCACTCCCTGCCCCTTGTCCACGGCCTCCACGCGCTGGTGCGGGGTTTTCTTATCTGCTTTGCTTTTCGGATCACAGTGATGGAAAGCCACACCATTCGGGTGAACAAGGAAGAGATGCAGAGGGCCTCAGCACTTCTTGGGGTACGTTTTTATTGAGACCAGTCGTGTTGTCGGTGCTCTTCTGCGTGACAGGTCACTTGCCACGGCCAGCCTGGAGCGACCTCCCTTGTCTTTCCCGCCTCTCGCCCTGGACTGGGGGCCGAGCTGTCCCTGTCTCTGACTCTTGCCGCAAGCACCTCGCAGGGGAAGCACGTAGAGGAGCATGACAGCACAACCATGGGTGTGTGCATGACTTCGCGGATGCTCGGTGACCCGAGAACTTAGGTTCCCACAGGGACATTGCCCCTTGTAGTCTGGTGAGGGGAATTCATGGATTTCTTGGAGTCTCAAAAAAAGCAAAAACAACACTTCCTAACTGAAAAATAAAAAATACAGAGGAATGCAGAAAGATGCATGAAAAGATGCATTAAAGTGTTCCACTTAAGTTATTTTAAAACTCCGGTACACCCGTCTCCTAGGTGGAAGCGTGGAGCTCCCGGGAGGGCTCGTGCCCTGTGCCCCAGACCCGCTGCCTGCTGGGGGAGGGGCCCCATCCCCACGTGCTGTCCTCCTACGTTTACACTTTGCTTCACTTGCCCGCTTCAGCGCCGAGGCGTAGCGTCTCGCTTTCCTTTCCGACCGTAAGTTGACAGCTGTGCCTGAGCTCGTTCACTCGGCCTGTGTCGTACTCCACCTATGTGGTGGCGTCGCTCGGTGCCATATTCCTCCACGGCACCACCCCGTCGCCCTGCTGAGAGGCATCTGGGTTGTTGCAGTCTACAGTCGTTATGGCCCACGCCGCGCCCTTGAGCATGTGGCCAGGACCTGAGCATGCGCTTCTCTGGGGGCCGGGCAGGGTGAGGCTGCCGGCCGGTGGGGGCACGGTGGTGGCACTGCTCAGCCGACTTGTTTTCCGAGGGCGCACCTGCCAGCACTGCACACGGGGTCCTGTCACTGCGCACCCTCACCCTCACCCTCACGGGCCATCACACTTTTAACAGCCACGTTGGCGAAGGCGTAATGCTTTCGCGTTACGAGTTTGGCTTCCAGTTTCTCCCTCACGGGCCATCACACTTTTAATAGCAGCCACGTTGGCGAGGGCATAATGCTTTCGCGTTACGAGTTTGGCTTCCAGTTTCCTGGTTCCGAAGGAGGTCGAATAGCTTCTCATCACGCTTGCCTGCGAGAGGTTTCTCTTCTGCTCACGTTTTTTACCCATCTTTATATGGAGGGCTTCATCTTTCTCTTTGATCTGTAGGACACCTGACACACTCTGGTTCCAAGCCTGCTACGTATTCCTCCTCCCTCTCCATCTTACCTTTTTCTGCTCCCATGATGGTGAACAGAGGTTCTTAATTTTTAACGTAGTGTAATTTATCAGTCTTTTTCTTTATGCTTAGTGCTTTTTGCATCTGTTTAAGAAGTTTTTCTTTCAAGCTCACGGAGTATTCTCATGTGTTATATTTGAAAGCTATTTTCATTAGCCTTTGCAATTAGGTTTATAATCCATCTGAAAGGATTTTTTTCTTTTTATGTACTTTTTCATTAAGAAAAACTATATGCAATGAACAGCGCAAATCTTTTTTATTTATTGTAGTAAAATACACTTAATGTAAAATTTACCAGCTTCGTCATTTCTGACTGCACAGCTCAGTGGTATTAAGCATGTTCACATGTGTGCAGCCGTCAGCACCAGCCATGGAGATAGAACTTTTCATCTTGCAAAACTGAAACGCCATACTCATTGAATAATAACAACTCCCCATTCCCCTCTTTCCTTAACGGGGGTCCCCCAAGCTCCTGGCAACCACCACTGTATTTTCTGTCTCTATAATTTTGACTACTCTAACTACTTCATATACGTGAAATCATACAGTCTGTCTTTTTGTGACGGGCTTGTTACACTGGGCACGGTGTCCTCAGGGTTCATCCGTGGTGTGGCCTGTGGCAGTTTCCTTCCGCTGTGAGGCTGGGCAGTTCTCTGTCGTGTATGTATGCCGCCTTTGCTTATCCGTTCATCTTTCGATGGATCCACACAACTTGTGTTGCTTCCATATTTCAGCTGTTGTGAATAATGCTGCTGTGAAATGGGTGTACAGATATCTCTTTGAGATCCTGCTTTCAATTCTTTTGAATATACACCCAGAAGTGAATTACTGGATTTTATGGTAATTATGATTTTAATTTTGGGGGGAACCACCGTACTTTTTCCATAGCAGCTGCACCGTTTTACATTCCCACCAACAGTGCACAAGAGTTCCAATTTCCCTACATCCTGGCCCCGCCAGCACTTGTTGTTTGTGTTTTGGTAATGGCCATCCTAATGGGTGTGAGGTGCTATCTCGTGTTTTTGATCTGCATTTCACTAACGATTCGTGATGCTGAGAACTTTTTCATGTGATTATTGGCCGTTTGTTTATCTTCTTTGGGAAAATATCCTTTCAATTTTTGCCCATGTTCTAATTGGGTCGTTTACTTTTTTCTTACTGAGTTTTAGGAGTTCTCTGTGTATTCTGGATATTAATCCTTTATCAAATATATGATTCGTAAATATTTTCTCCCATTCTGTGGGTTGCCTTTTTACTCTGTTGATAGTGTCTTTTGTTGCACAAAATTTTTAAATTTTCATGAAATCTAACTTTTCTATTTTTTCTTTGTTGCCTATGTCTTTGGTAGCATATCTAAGGAATCATTGCCAAATTCAATGTCATAAACAGTTTGTCCTGTGTTTTCTTCTAAGAGTTTTGCTTTAGCTCTTACATTTAGGTCCTTGACCCGCTTTGAGTTAATTTTGCATGTGGCGTTAGGTAAGGGTCCAGCTTCACTCTTGCGTGTGGATGTTCAGTTTTCCCAGGACCATTTGTTGAAAAGATTGTCTGTCCTTCCCCCACGGAGTGGGCTTGGCGCCCTTGTCAGAAATCATCTAACCGTGTATGCAAGGGTTTCTTTCTGGGCTCACTGTCTGTTCCCTTGGTCTGTATGTCTGTCTTTATGTCAGCGCCATGCTGTTTTGACAACCGTAGCTTTGTAGTGAGTTTTGAAATCAGGACGTGTGAGTCCTCCAGTTTTATTCTTTTTCAGGGTCGTTTTGGATACTTGGTGTCCCTTGAGATTATGAATTTTAAGATGGGTTTTTCTATTTCTGAAAAAAATATCTTTGGGATTTCAATAGGGACTGAATCTGTTGGTCACTTTGAGTAGTGTTGACATCTTGATATATGAAGTCTTCCAGTCCACAAACATGAGATGCGTTTTTGTTGATTTGCGTCTTTAGATTTCTTTTAGCAGCGTTTGTGGTGTTTATCGTACAGGTCTTCCACCTTCTTGGCCAAGTTAATTCCGAAGTGCAGACACACCTTGTCTTATTGCTCTTCACTTTCTCGTGCTTCACAGATGCTGCATTTTTACAAATGGAAGGTTGGTGGCCATCCCGCCTTGAGCAAGTCTGTCGATGCCATTTTTCTGGTAGTATTTACTCGCTTCATATCTCTATGTCATATTTTAGTAATTCATGCAAAATTTCAACCTTTTTCATTATTATGATATTTGTCACGGTGACTTGTGATTAATGATCTTTGATGTTGCTGTTGTAATTGTTTTGGGATGCCAGGAACTATGTCCATATAAGGCAGCAAACTTAATAGATAAAGGTTGTGTGTGTTCCGACTGTTCCACCAACCGGTCATTCCCACATCTCCCTGCCTCTCCTTGGGTCTTCCTGTCCACTAAGACACAACAATATTGAAATCGGGCCAATAAATAACCCTACAATGGCCTCCGAGTGTTCAAATGAAGAGAAGAGTTGCACGTCTCTCGCTTGAAATCGGAAGCTGGAAATGCTTAGTTCCAGAAACGAAGGCACGTCGAAACTCGAGGTGGGCCAAAGCTAGGCCTCGCGCACCGCACACGCAGGCAGGACGTGAATGCAAAGACAAGTTCCGGAAGGAAACTAAGAGTGCTGTTCCAGCGAACACGTGAGCGAGAAGAAGGTGCAGCAGCGTCCCGCTGACGTGGTCTGGATGGAAGATCGGGTCCAGGGCTCTTCTGTGATGGGGGATTTTTGATTACTGATTCAGTCTCCTTCCTGGTTACAGGAATATTAAGATTCTCTCTTCCTTTACGATTTCTTTGGCTCTTACTTGGAGTTTATTGAGTGTGAATGTTTATATTTATGTCTTTCATCAAGTTTGAGAAGTTTTCAGCCATTGTATCTTTAAATATTCTCGCTGCCCCTTTTTCTCTCTCTTCTCCATCCGGGATTCCCACAGCGCGTACACTGCTCCGCTTTATGGTGTCCACAGGTCCCTTAGGTCCTGTTTACTTTTCTTTGATTTTTTTCTGTTCCTCAGCTTCAGTAATTTCCATTGTTCTCTCTTATAGTTCACTGTTTCTTTCTTCCTCCTGCCCAAGTCTGCCTTTGAATCTCTCTGAGGAGTACTTTATTTCAATTATTGTACTTTTCCGCTCTGGAATTTCTTTTTGGTTTCCTTTTACTTTTTCTGTCTCTTTACCGATATTTCCATTTTATTCACATATCATTTTCTCGACTCTCTTCCCATCTTCCTTTAGTTCTTTGAGCTTCTTTAAGATAGTTTTTTTTTAAAGTCCTTGTCTATTAGATCTCCCATTGGGTCTTTTTCAAGGACAGTTTCTATTGATTTTTTTCCATCAAATATGCCATACTTTTCCTTTTTTTTTTTTTTTTTTGTTTTTTGGTTTTTTGGTTTGGTTTTTGTTGTTGTTTTGGTAGCCTTGTGATTTTTTGCTGGGTACTGGACACTTGAATCTAATAATGTCATATCTCTGGAAATCAGATTCTCCTCCTTCCCCAGGGTTTGCTCAGTGTGTGTGTTATTTTTGTTCATTGTTTTTCTTTATTTGTTTACTCTAGGTGGTCTCCGTGTCGAGGACCACCCGAGGAGTAAACTTTTAAGATCTTCTCAGGTCTTTTCTGAGATGTTCCCTGGGCACGCACAGTCACTTTCTAGTTTTCCTTGTATGTGCAGTTGTTTTTGAACGTCCTTGTCTTAAATGTTTAGCTTCCAAAAGGGAAGAAGGAGAAGAATTAAGGGGGAGTGGAGAGAAAGGGTGCCAGCCCTTTTCACCCTCTGGAAGTCACTTCAGCTGGGAGGGGCGGGGCTTGCAACAAGCGGGGAGCGACAACAATGACGCTCCCTACCTGTTTGTCTGCATGTCTGTTGTTAGAAGCAGCTGTCGCCCACCAGCTCGCAGATCCCTGATGTTTGCAGGAAAGGCCCTCTTTGCCCACCCTGGTCCCTGCGGACTGCACGTAGGCTTCTCCAGGACCACGTGCGCAGCCGCCCGCCCCGTGGCTGGAGTGGGGGATGGCAGCTACTGCTTAGCTGAAACGGATCAAAATTAACCTGCGATTTACCCTCCATGGCTTCCCCTGAAGTTGCAAGCCTTCCACAGACTCGAGTCCCCGAATGATTTCATCAGACAGGTTGTGCCTGCGATGGCCGTCCGGGTGGGAGACGCGTCTCACCTCACAGGCGCTGCCTCCTCTTTCATGTTCCCAGTATCCCCTTGGTGCACATCTTAAGTGTACAGCTTGGTGTATGTTTACATACGTGCACATCCATGTAACCTACACCCAGATTAAGATCTAGAATATTTCCAGTACCTAGAATGCTCCTTCCTGATTCCTTCCAGTCTGTACCCCAGAGATACGGTTAATCTGACCCTGTCCCCAGAGATTCTGAGCTTCCTGTAGATGGGCCCACACAACGTGGGCTCTTTGGTTCCGGCTCATTCTGTGCACATGCTGCCTGTGGGGTCCACCCGTCTGGATGCACATAGCAGAAGTGCATTCCAGTAAAACTGTTGCATCGCGCCTGTTGTAAGAGTGTGCCATCACTTCTTTATGTCCCCTGCCGTTGGTGCTGTGATCGTGGCAGTCTTGAAGGTTCGCCTGCATGACCTGCGCTGGGCGTGGGTGCTGCTGTCTCTTGGCTTTATAAACAGAAGTAGACTTCCGGGCCACAGGGTGCGCCGGTGCTTGCCCGTAGCGGGTGCTTCCAGCACCTCTCAGGCTGGCGGTGACGTTCTCCAGGCCCGTCCGCCACGTCCTCACCGCCAGAGTCTCCGCGGCAGGCCCTTTCACTTCAGCCTTCCGGTGGTCGGCAGCTGTCTCGCCGAGGGTTGAATTTGCATTTCCCTCATGAGTAAGAATATCGAGCACCTTTCGTATGCTTCATGGTATTTTGGACATGTTCTTTTGTAATACAATTTTTCAACTGCTTTACCCACTTTAAAGTTTATGTTAACTGATTTTTTTTATCGATTTGTAGGAATTCTTTACATATTCTATTTGTGAGTCCTTTGCAATGTACATTGGAAATGCTTTCTCCAGTTTGGGTTTGGCACACAGTGGTCTGTGGGCCAGATCCATCCTGTGGCCTGCAAGTTAAGGGTGTTTGTTACAATTTTTTAAAAAGGAACAACTAAAAATAGAGGATATATGACAGAGACTATGTGTGGCCCATAGAGCCTGGCGGGGCTGTGTCTGTGGCTTGTCTTTTCACTCTCTTAATAGCTGTGTCTCTTCATGAACAGAATCTTCATTTTAATGAAGTCCAGTGAGCCATTTTTAAATGTTTAAGAACTTTCATGTGTTAAGAGTGAAGATATTCTCCTGTGTTTTCTTCTATAAGCTGTATTAGTTTAAACCTATCATCTGTTTCAAATTAATTTTTCTATATGGCATAAAGTACAGTTCAGATTTTTTCCCAAATGGATTTCCGTTTATTTCGGCATCATTTATTAAAAATGCCATCGTCTCCCCCACCGAATTACAGCCCCCCCTTACCCAGCTTCGCTTTCTGCGGTTTCACTTACCTGAAGTTAATCAGGGTTTGGAAATATGAAATGGAAGATTTCAGAAATAAACAACTCATAAGTTTTAAATTGCACACTGCCTGCGTATTGTGATGAAATCTTATGCTGTCCCACATGGGACAAGAATTGTCCCTTTGTCCAGCAGCATATCCATGCTGTGTACCTGCCTGTTAGTCACTTAGTAGCCGTCTCAATGATCAGATTAACTGTCACAGAATCTCTGTGCTTGTGTTCAACTCACCCTTATTTTACTTGGTAATGGCCCAAAGGCACCAGCGTAGTGATGCTGGCGGTTAGGGCACAAGGCAGAGAAGCCTGAGCACTTCCCCTGAGACGAGAGGGCGTGGAGAGAGAGTGCAGTCGCAACTTGCCTTACAGTCTCTTGTTATCACTGCTCTGTTTATTATTAATTATTGTTAATCTCCTGCTGCGCCTAATTTATAAATTACGCTTCATCATGGGTCTGCACATATAGGAAGAGACACAGTATCCGTAGGGTATGGTCCATCCGCAGTGTCAGGCCTCCCCTGGGGGTCTTGGGACATGTGCCCCATGCATAAGGGGGACCGGTGTAGTGTCTGTCACGAGTCAGGTCACTGCGTGTGCGTGTGGCTCTTTCCGGGACTCTGTTCTGTGGCACAGGTTCATTCGCCTGTCCTTGGGCTCGTGCTCCCCGGCTCAGTTGCTGTCGCTGTGTGACGTGTCTCTGGATCACCTTCCATCTTCATTCTCCCGCGGTCACCTTCCATCTTCGTTCTCCTTCCCCGTGGAATGGGCTATTCTCGGTTCTTTGTACTGTTGTATAAAATTGTGTGACCTGCTCTTCAGAAAATTGCTGGGATTTTTACTGTGTTTTTAATGCTTATGGAAAAGGGCTAACATGCAGACTAGAGAACTCCTATCAAAACAAAAGCCAGTTAGCACAATTTTTTAAAAAAATTTACTGAAAGATGTTTAAACCTGTACCCCCGAGGCCACAAGGCCACGAGGCCAGCAGCAGCACCCACACCCGGCTGAGTCCCACTGCCTTGCCGACCCGCAGAACCGTGAACGTGCAGTGCGGTTGTGCTGGAGCCGTGTGTCTGTGGCAGTGGGTGACCACTGCCACCTGGGCCCGCTTCCCCTGGGAATGGGGCACGTTCGGTCTGTCCCGCGGCACGACGAGGCTGCCGGCCTGGCTGCTGCTCTGCAGTTCTCCGTTTCTGCTCTGAAGAGGTGCTAATGTTTTGTTTCGTCTGAAACTGTGTTGTTCTCCGTCCACACTTCCCGTTACTGCTGTGTGCTTAAACGCAGGGAACGCGTTGCTGTGCGAGCGTACTGGGCCGTTTTAACTGGAAGCTCATGTTCTCATAATTCTTTGAGACCAAGCAATTTGTTACTGAATTTTTTGTGACCTAAGGCATGACTTATTCCTGAAGGAATCCATTATCTCTCCGTTAATGCTTTTCTCCTTATTTTTCTTCCTATCATTTGTTTCTTTAACTACAGAGTTTGGGCATACTTTAACTGAGACGGTTGTTTCTGGATTCTTCTTTTTGCCCAGATACTACTTTTTTTGTGTTATATTTGTCCTGCTCCTAGTGTCTCTGGTCCCTATTTGTAAACTACTTGCAGAATTTCAGCCTAAAGGCAGTTCTGGTCTGATAGAGACTCTGTTCTCTTTCTTTTCATAATTATTTTCCTAAAGTCCCGGCCTTCGAGGTGGGGACTAGACTTATGGGGGTGGGTCACTTTGTTAGCTATATAAGTGTCTAACCACTGTGCTGTACACCCAAAACTAATATAATACTGAATGTCAACTATAATTTAAAAGTAAAAAATTAAATAAAGTCGGTCGGCCAGTCAGCCCTGGCCTCTTTCTGCTTTTCTCCTGACTGCAACAGTTGCGAGGGGTTTGTAAATTCCCCACCCGTGCCCTGCGCTGCCCAGCACCGTCCCCATCGGCTGCTTCGTAACGTGTTTAGTTTTTCTCCTGGCCCAGCCATGCCTCAGCCCGCCAGCCCAGGCTGTGGCCCGGTCTCGGTTGGTGTGGCTGTCCACACCACAGAGCGTTGTCGCTGGTGGCCCCCGGGGCTGCCCTCCCTGTCAGAGGAAGGCCTCCACCGCCCTCGGTCACCATGCAGCCGGGTCCTGAGTCTTCTGCCTCAGGGGACTTGGGGCGTCTTGATGTTCACAGTGCGATGCTCGGTCTCCCTTCCTGTCATGATATTGCTGGAAAATCCATTCTTTCCCTCCCTCATTCTGGTGAATTATTGACTATTTTTGCTGCTTTCGGTTTGCTTCCTTAGGTTTGCGGGAGAGTGATCCTGTGAGCCTCAGTGTTCCACCATGAGTCAAAATGTGTGTTTTTTAATGTCCATTTTGGTAAATTATAGGTTATTTTTTATTCTTATAAGAGCTTTTGCTGGGAATTGTTTGACGAACAAATAAAACCATCTTAAGTTGTGACAGATGCTGACGAGTTTATGTCTGTCACATTCAGTCTCGTCTCAAGGAGCTGGAGCAGGAAGCCCACTTTGTTGCAGGAGAAGAGTTTCTCATAAGGAGCAGTAATCAGCTCCGAGAGGTAAAGCTGCGTTTCGGTGCTTTTATAAAATAAGCTGCTTATTCAGGGGCTAAAGGGAGATTTAGTCCGACTCTATAAATATTTTATGTTGGCTGTCTGAAGAGTGTGTAAGTTGGTCGTGTTCTCTCACACGGAGATTCATGACTTCAACGCCTTTAACTCCAAGAAATTCCTAAATCAAAGTCTAAGCATTTTGGGTGTGAAGTCGGCGTCTCCTCTGGCCGGCGGCCTTCACCCTGCTGTGGTGACACTAGCTCTCCCTCACCTCTGGGACCCTCTCATGTGTGCAATCCTTCTGTTGAAGGTCCTCTTCGGCAAGCTGAAGCTGCACCTGCTGAGTCCAGGACAGACCCTTCCCAGAACGGGGCCGCGGAGACCCCCATCCACGTCCGAGGCTGTGGTAAGGCTGGAACGTCCCTTTCTTTTTGAAGCGGTAGCGTGTCTACACCACGCGTGAGCCGGCTCTCAGCGGCCCACACCACGGAGCCGTTCGGCTTCATTGTCACCCCCACCCCGTGGCTCCCCTCCTGGTTATGACGCAAAGAGAAGGAAGCAGACAGTAGTTTCCAGAAGCAACCAGTTGGCTCGATTTTCTACAAAGAAGACTTTGGTGGAATTTTGCTCTGAAAACCAAATTCTTCACAATCCAGTCACAGCCTCTCTGTTTTATGCCCCCACAAGAGACTGGAAATGGGAAAGGTCACCAGTCTGCCCCTGTCCCCACTGTCATTTTAGAAAACTTTAGCTCCCCTTCTCGTGGGAGAGAGACATTTCGTAAAAGACAGGGAGTAGGGAGCGTCTGCTGGAGCAGAGTGGCTGGGCACGGCGGCCGCTCAGAGTCCGGCCGGACGCCCGGAAGCAGCGGAGCAGGGCTCAGTGGATGGGGCTCATGTCCCTCTGGTGACAGTGGCTGTGGGCGCCCCGGTCTGTGCCTTCTGTGCCTTGTCCGGCACTGGACACCGTCACCCTCCTTCCAGACTGCCCCGTGCGTGTTGTCTCCAGCACGACACTTTCTGCTCGTCTCGGCCCTGGCGGAGCCCCTCTGCTGGCTGTCCCACCCCTGGCCTTCAGGTGGCCCAGGCGGCCATTCCTGAGTGAGTCTCGGACAGCCGCGGAGTGATGCTCCTTCACTGCAGGGCCCTGAATCCAGCCTCACTTCCACCTCAGGGAGCGGTCTGTCCTGCTCCGTGTCCTTGGGAGCCCGTGGTGGCGGGAGCGAGGGCCCCGGGCTGCCACCACACCCACCCTCACAGCCTGGACCGCGTTCCCGGACCACTCCGTGCCTCGGTTTCCCGATCTGTAGAGGAAGGGAGATGATAGTAGTTTCCTACTAGGACCTTGTGAGGATTCAGTGTGTGTGTGTGCGTGTGTGTGTGTAAAACAGTACGTAGGACCGTGCCTGACCCATAAGCTCTCAGAAACCAATAAGAATTGGCTCCTGTTAGCTTCTTCATCCGGAAACCTCGGCGTCATGGCTGATTTCCTTTCGGCCTCACCCCTCAGCAAGTCATACGTTCTCTGCCTACAAAGCATGTCTCGAGTTGCCTGCTTCCCTCTGCCTTCAGTCACTGCTTTTGCGTCCTCCGCCTAGGCCCTTCCAGAGCCTTCTACGCCTCCTCCTGTCTGCTCCCCGCACTCCTGCTTCTTACCCGTCACCTCCGGGGCAGCGTGGTCCTCTGAAGCTCTGGAACATCATGTTGCCCCCATGACTTAGACCTCCAGTGGCTTCCTGTGACACTTAGAATAAAACCAGGCCATCGGGCGTGTCCCCAGGCCCGTGGGCCGGCCCTGCCCCATCTCAGGCCACAGACTCTTCCCCCCAGATCGTGCCAGGCTGGCTTCTGATGGTCAGCTCCCATGCCGCCATCAGAAAAACCTCCTCTGGTCACGCGGGCAGCAGTAAGGCCTCCGGTCGCAACCCATTTCTTCACCCCGGTTCGGTTTCTGCACACAGCTCGCCATCACAGGCGGTCACCCCGCTTCCTTGCCTGTGTGTTCCCCAAGAAGGGAGGCTGCAGGGAGCAAGGTCCCCGCTGACTCATTCGCTGCATTCGGAACAGACGGCCCACGGCTGGCACCTGGGGCTGAACGACCCCTGTTGCTTGTTCACGGAGCGCAGGGCAGCAGAGCACAGGCCCTGCCTGCTGCGGAGACTGGTGTGGCTCTCAGCGCCCGTGTCCCACGCGGCAGCGTGTCCGCAGTCCCGGCGCCAGTGGCAACCTGGAGAGCCGCGCCCGAGCAGGGGTCTCGGGCTGATGATTCTCTGTCCCAGCACGAGCACCAGTGTTGCCCTTCCCTTCCTGCCTTAGCATCTCGAGACAACCAGCGACACCGGAAGGGAGGACCGACTCTCCTCTGGCGGCCCCTGCTTTCCGGCGGGCAGAATTAAGACTGACAATTTTTTTCACAAAGACACGATTGACATAAATCGTATTAGCTTTACTTTCCTATTTAACTAAACAAGTCCTACTCTCCTGTGCTTTTAAAAAAGATGAACTTTTACCAGGCAGCACATGTGTGGTTCTGAATTCAAAATTAGGCCTTCTCTCTACATCCCTCTGCCCCTGGCCTCCTTCCCCAGGGAAGGCTGTGGACCCCAGCGGGGATGGGCAGCCTGAGACGTTCAAGTGAGGGTGCAGCTGTGGCCTTAGCTATGGTTTTATTAGACTTTACTTTTTGGAGCAGTTTTGGGGTCACAGCACAATTAAGCAGAAGCTAGAGACGTCTCGGGCACCCCTGTCTCCTACGCATGCACACGCAGCCTCCCCCACTGTCACCATCCCCCCCAGATGGTACAGTCCCCGAGCCTACGTTGACACGTCGTCATCACCCACAGTGTTGCACGAGGGGTCCCTCTTGGTGCTGTGCGTCCGCGGGTTTGGACCGGTGCGTAATGTCGCGTACCCACGGGTCCAGACCCCCACGGAGCGGTTGCGCTGCCCTAAGTTCCCCGCGCTCCATCTGCTCACCCCCCACCCGCCCCAACCCGGCAACCGCTGACCTTTGTGCATTCTTTTCTAGAATGTCACGGAGTTGGAATCACACAATTTGTAGCCTTTTCAGATTGGCGTCTGTCACCTAGTAATGTGCGTTTACGGTTTCTCCACGTCTTTTCATGGCTTGAGAGCTCATTTCTTTTTATCTCTGAATAATGGTCCACTGTCTGCATGGACCACGGTGTATTTGCCATTCATCTACTGTAGGACGTCTTGGTTGCTTCCAACTTGTAGTGCTTCTGAGTAAAGCTGCAGTCAACATCTGGGCACAGATTTTCGTGTGGGCGTCAGTTTTTAACCCTTTGGGCTAAGTATCAAGGAGCGGGGTTGCTGCATCGTGTGGCGAGAGTGTGCTGAGTTTTGTCAGAAGCCCTCAGACGGTCTCCCCAGTGGCCGCACCACTTGGCGTTCCCACCGGTGAGGAGCGCGTGCTCCTGTGCTCCACGTCCCTGGCCCGCAAGTCATGGCACGAGGGGCCTGCGTCCCGGCCGTGCTCACAGGTGGTGTGTGTCTTATAGCTGGCTGGCTAGGGCATGGAGGAGACAGGCTGTCACTGTGTGGGGACCAATGTCTCAGTAGTCCAAGTGATGGCAGTGAAGCTGGGCAAAGCAGGGGGATTTTCAGAACATTTTTATAACAGAAAAGAACTCTGTGTCGAATCTCCTGTGACAAAAGTCAGAAATGGTGGTGGTTTCTGGTTTCTGCACCTGAACCAGTAGAGATGGCTACTGCTTTGGGAAAACTGGGAGAGGGACAGTTTATTCGGAGCGGGGGTCAGAGTCAGGGGTTCAGTCCTGGACAGGTTAAGATGGAAGTGTTCGTGGGACTTTGACACAGAGATGTCGCACAGCCCTTGGACCTGAGAGGAGGAGTCTTGTGCTGGAGACACACTTGGAGGTGGTCAGCCAGTTTTTACTAAAGTCGCCTGGGGTGGTGGCCCTCTACCCTGGCAGGAGCTTTGGACAAACACTTGTGTCCAGGCCCACGACTGATCCGTGGGGTCAGTCTGCAGGCTGGCGGCCCCGTCACGGGCATGCTTTTGAAGCACCCTAGCTGATTTTAATAAGCAATCAGCAGCGATAACCCCAGAACTGGACTCAGAAACTGCCATTTAGAAGCCAGAGAGAGAGAGAGGAGGTGCCATCGAGAGGCCGCAGAGTGGCCCCAGGGAGAGAAAGGAGAGGAGAATGCGGCGTCAGGAGCCGCACGGAGCGTTTGATAAAGCTGCCAAGTGGCTGTCCCAGGGTCACCCGCCCCAATCATTAACTCTGGGAGGGCTTTATCTGGGGTTTTTATGAGGTCAAACACTTAGTCCTTTCCAGGAGCTCTCTGAAAGCTGCACTGGAGACACGCAGGGAGTCTGTGGCCAGGAAGGCATTGCGTGAGTCAGGTTTCGGATAAGGAGAGTTAGTCGATCCTAAGCAGGATCGTGCACGTTCATCACCTTAGGAATAGCTTTTCTAAGAGAAGCAGCAACTCTGGACTGTGCCGAGTCGCAGTTCCTCCCCTGGGCGGTGCCTGCTCCGGGGACACCAAGGTTGGCGCTCCTGCTTGTTTGTATGGCTGGCCGAAACTCTGTCCTCAGTCGTTACTCAGAGAGTGTTACAATTCCGTGGTTCACACTATTACATTAAAATTACATTGTCACTTCTAACCCAAATTGATCAATAGATTCAAAATGATTCTAAGTAAAACACTAGCAGTTTTTTTTAATTGGCAAGCTGATTCCCAAATTTACATGGAAACACAAAAAACTAAGAAGCAGCAAGATAACCTTGGGAAATAAAGCACTATTGGAGGACTTAGTCTGTTGGATATCAAGACTTGGCACCAAACAATAGAAATGACTAGGAATTAATGAAGCGGTGCCATGTAGTGTCGATTCGAGGATAAACAAATAGACCCAGGGACCAGGACAGAGAACCCACACGCAGACCCCACGGGGGTGCGTAAGTCTCATGGCCGCTGAGAGGCTGGCACTGCCAGGCAGCGGGCGAGTGGGCTGGTTACCTGCGCGACGAGGGCCAGCGTATCTTGACGCCTCCTCCGCACCATACACAGAAATGAGTTCCAAATAGCTCATATGTCTGCGTAGTAAAAGCAAACCATAGAGAAGGTAGAAGCCACCATAGGCAGGCGTCTCTAAGACCTCGAGGCGGACACTCAGACAGGACGCAGAGTGCACCGACCGTAAAGAAAGATGACAAATTGGACAACAGTGAAATTAAGACTTTCTGTTCATGAAAAGACACCATTAAACAAGTAAAAAAAGCAAGGTATTTCCAGTAAATATAATTGACTAAAAAAAACCCTGTCTAGACTGATGAATTCCTACAAATCAAGAAGAAAAAGACGCAAACCAGTTTTTTAAATGGGCAAACGACATGAACAGGGCTTTAATGAAAGAAGAGATACGATTAGTCAATAAATATTCGCATACTGTCCAACTTCGTCAGTCACTGAGTAATTGCACATCAAAACTGCAGTGAGATCCCGCTTCAGTGTACCAGAAGGGCTGAAATGAAGACTTAGGACAACGTGCGTTAACAGGGATGTGGGACAGCTGGACTCACGTGTTGCCAAGGGGGTTCACACTGGTGCATTCACTTTGGAGAACTGGCTGGTGTCGCCACAGGGGACCCCGCGCTCCCCGTCCCCTCCACGCGGATGTTCCGTAGAGCCACGGACACCTGTTGACCAGAGTCTGCTCCACAGTGTCCACAGCAGCCCTGTTCGTAGCGGCCCAGCGTGCAAACCCCCACATGACATCGGTGGTGGCATGGGTGAGTGGCTGTCCGCCGGTCACACAGCTGAATACAGCAGCCCACATAGTGAAGACTGCTTCACACAGCAACACGGCGAACCTCGAAACTACAGGGCTGAGCGACAGCCACGCACAAAAGGTCCTGCCCTGCTCAATTGACAGGAAGTTCACACACCGGAAGCAGAGGCCTCGCTGGTGGTGCTTGCCCCTGGGGGAGGGGCAGGGACCTGCTGGGGAGCCTGGAATAGTCCATCTGGGCGAAGTACCCAAGTGTGTTCATTTCGTGACAGTGTAAGAAACAGTGCTCCTGTGACCTGGCCCTTTGCTGTATGTTTCGACTTTCTGAAAATGTTTAACTTGTAGTGGCGTTCCGGTGTCGCCTTCCTGACTGTCCGCGGGGGTCCAGATGCTGGGCATTCCTAGACAGCGCAGTACACTTTGTGGGCGCTTCCCCGTCTACTCTCCCACGCGGCATTTTGCATGCCCTGGACTTAGGTTCCACTAATCCGAATCTCATGAGGAATCTTATTTCTAAACTCACGCAAAGTGCTTTTAGCTCCCATGGGGTCAACGATGAGTTTGTAAGGGGTAAAGGTTAAGAAGCCTGATGAACTGAGTTTCTTATGCATCTTCATTTTGGAAAATATGCTCAGTGTAGCCCATTTTCTTACTAGGCCTTTCTCTGGCTGAAAATAAGTGTTTGAGATGTCAGAGTTAAATGAAGGATTGATATTGGTGGTATTTATTCTCTTTCTTTAGTTAAAAGCTCTGCAAGACCTTCATCCATTACCCAAGATAATTTTGGAATATAGGCAGGTGAGTTAAACTTCTTTGTAAGTTGGTGACAAAGGGGAAGCAAATGGCACGGAAATCTGTAATCACCGAGGTAGCCCTGACGTGGTCGTGAAGGGGACATAGCTCGTTGGAGTGACCCTGGGTTAGCACCGCCGGCTCGTGCCCAACATGAGTTGACTCACATCTGCGCCAGCCCTGCTTCCACCAGTGGAAGAGGACAGATGACGATTCTGAAGGAAGTGTCGGGTGAGTCGCTGTCGGACTTCAGTGTGACGAAGACATTCATGACACCTCACGACAGCACCCTCCTGTCCCCGTTTCCGGGCCGGTGGAATCGCCCTGCAGCTGCGTTTTACCATCTGGTGTTGACGCTCGCTGACTGACATGTCCCCTCCCCCTGCCAGCTACTCGTCCTCCCTGTTCACATGCCTGCCGTTTGTCCTGAGCTCGTGAGCCACGTGTGTAACATTGGCCGTCGCTCACTCCAGCGGTCAGCTGTTTACTGAACGTGTGACCTGTTGTCTGTGCTAAGGCCGGGCAGCTGAGAGAGCATAATGGTGGCCACTGACCCTTTCTCCTTGAAGTGACGAGAGGATTGAAAGAGGACTGAAAGGGCCACCGTAGGGGACACTGGGTGACGGGTATGTGGGAGCGCTCCATTTATTTTCGCAACTTTTCTGTAAAAGAATGATTCCAGAGTGAGAAATTTATTTTAAAAGGGGTAGGGTGACACCTTTCTCTGTGGGTACTGTTATTAAATTCTGGGTACCACGTAAGGCCACTTCAGGGCCTCCTGGAGTCATCTGAGGTGACATCAGCGGTACATGCCTCACGCTCTATAAAACACAGCTTTGACCCTCGTTTCTATTTAAATATTTAACAGAGAAAACGATTATTTTTGTCTTTGTAATTTAGGTCCACAAGATCAAGTCAACCTTTGTAGACGGACTACTTGCTTGCATGAAAAAGGTAACTGAAGCTAAAAATATTAGAAATACGGTTTACACACGAGTTCAGATAGACGTAGAGCTTCTTTACGTTTTAGCTAATGAGGAGATAATCTAATACTCTCGAAACTACGAACCGTGGTTCTGGTATCATTCGGGCTTCTTGGTAGAGGTGCCACCATGCCCTGGGGCCTGGTGTTTCTGTGGAGGCCCTGCTGCCGGCCCCGGGCTTGCTCGTGCATCCCTGCATCTTCTCTCTGCGGTCCCTTAAGGGAGACCTCGCTCAGTTCGTGCATGAGGAGCCCTCAGAGGGGCTGAGTGAAGTCCGAGGCCCCCAGCCGCGGTCGGGGGTGCACGGCCTGCCCCAGCGCACCCCTCTCCATGCACAGAACACCACACGTCCTGCCGCAGTTAGGGGGTTGCTCCTCTGCCCACCCTGATCACACGTCAGTTCCGTGACACCCGGGACACCTTGGCTTGGGGTGCAGGGCCCCTGGAGGGGAGCAGCAAGTGTGTGGGGTGGGAGTGGGGGGAAGAGGCTGCGGTTCCAGCCCATTCGTCACTTCCCAGCGTTGTCAGAGCTTAAACTGGTTCTTTCTGACTAATAAAGGGCACCATTTCCTCCACGTGGAACCAGACTGGAGCTGTGACCGGAAGGCTCTCGGCCAAGCACCCTGTGAGTTTGCTCTCCTTGTTAAATGCAGTTTCCGGGCCTTGGAGTTGAAGTTTGCCTAGACGCGTGTTTGCCTGTGCCTTTTCCATTTCTAAGAGGGGACCCCAGGCTGATAGGTTGTGTTTTTTCTGTTCATTCAGTTAACATTTATTCAGCACTGCTGTGTTTGGGGAACATAGTGGGGGAACAGGACACATGGCCATGCCATCGTAAAGTGTCGAGTTAGTGAGGGGTTCTTCCCATCCAGAGAGTCATGCCTTCAGTGCTGAGGGCAACAGAAGATGCCCCAGTCCCACCCCGTCCTCCATTTCCGGGTTCGTACTGGACAGGTAGCTTCCGATTTTCAGAAGTGTGTTAAAATATCTGATGCTATGATGACGACCTCCATTTTTGTTGTCGCTGAAGGTGACCTCTGACGAAAACCACTGTAAACACCCTTGATATAGGACTCGGCTTTAATAACACTTAGAGCATCTAACTTTTTAAATGGCTTTATATTTTTGAATTAAAGACGCCTCATTACAGGAACAGCTCTTTAAGTATGGAAAAGAAATGTAAAAAAAAGAAAGCTAATAAACGCCATCTGTTCCGCCATGCAAAATTAACTGTGGTTAAAATTTTGGTGTCTACCCCTCCAGAGTTTGCTAAGCACAAGTATTTATAAAATACTCTTTACTACGAAACTATATTTTTATTTTATGCTTTTTAACTTTATGTGAGATGTCTTGATATACATCAATATTGATCCAAATCTAATTTAAATATTTGAATTACTTAAATGTATGAATTAAGGATGCACTATATAACATATACACACGAATATGTGTTCACGGTAAGGAAATTCAAGTACTGTGGAAGCTTATAGAATATAAACTGTAGGTCCTGTCTCCTCTTCCCTCGTCCACGCCTGTCTGCGCCCGCCCTCTCCCCACACCCCGCCGGGCCTTACATCACTGGCGGTGGCACATGCAGAGCAGGTGGCCGACCAGAGGGGCGGGAGGACCACCGGGTCGTGGGAGCTCTGGCTCTTGGTGCAGGACATCCTCTCGCGGTCACCGCCTTCACCAGCTGTCTGTCTCTCGGGACTGAACCCACTGCGAGAGGGTCTCATTTTGGACATCCCACTTTCGAGAGCTCTTCGTGGTCCTTATCCCGCTGACAAGTAGCGGGACCTGTAGTTCCGCTGATCCTGGTACCGCCCCGTCTGACAGCTCGCGCTGCCCCTGCGCTGGCCTTCAGTTCGTTCCCCCACCCCCTTCTCCCTGTCCGTGCTGCCTCTCCTTGGTGGGGTCTCCAGGAATTCCCCCCGGAAGACGCACGTTTATGGAGGCCCTTGTTTCCTCCCCTGGGGGGTTCTAAGTGCCTGTTTCCCCTCCATGCTTTCAGATTAGCCTCCCCCTCTGCTTCACTGTCTTCCGGGACTGTCTAGTGTCTCCGGTTCATTCTCTTCCGGGACTGTCTCTGGTTTGTGGGTAGCGCTCCTCCCAGGCCTTCAGCGATGCTCTGGTTTTACTTACTTATTTTTCTGGTATTTCGGTTGACCTTTTGGGAAGAGGAGATGTAAGCGTAGTGTGCGCACTCGGTTGCACCTTCAGCCGGACGCCTGCGACGTCACCGCGTTAGCCGCTGCGCACCGGCTGTCTCTGCTGACGGTCGTTTTCATCGTTTCCAGGTTTAATTATTTTATACTGAGATGCCATATTTTTGGTACATTTTCCTGATGATTTTCATAGCATAAATTCCTAGAGATAGAATTTCTGAGTCCAAGTATATGTGTATTTTTAAGGCATTACATTACTAAATTGTCCTCCAGAAAAAAAGATATTTTACATTGTGTGAAATGCTTGGTCCCCTATACCCTTGCCAATTAAAGGAGTCTTCGTTTTGGTTATCATTTCCTGGCTTGATTTTTAAATTTCCATTCTTTTGAAAATTAAGTGAGGTTGACCCTAAAACAGTTATTCTTCTATGAATTGTCTGTTTATGTCATTTGTCTATGTCTCTACAGGATGTAATTTTTCCTATACGTATGGAAAAGCTCTCTATATGAGAAAGATTAACCCTTTGTAAAATGTTGAATTATTTTTCTCCATTTTTCTTTTGCCCTTTAAATTTTGTGTTTATCATACTTAAAATGGCTTTTTTATTATACAAGTAATATACGATAATCCTAAAGAAGTCAAGCAATAGATAAAATATAAATAACATTATAACAGTCACCTCAAACTCCACAGCCCTGTGATAACAGTTACATCATTAACCTTTGGTGACTGTCCTGTAGCTTACCTCTTTATGCACGCACAGTCGCACACGCATGTGCACGCATACACATTTACATGAATGGGACTGCATCGTATGTGTCATTTTTATTGTACACACTGCCTCACCACACCGGATGTCAGCCTCGACCCTCCGTCCCGGTGCCCATGGGAGCCTATGCTAGCGACCTAGAATGCGCATCCGTATTTCGCCCCAGACTTGGGGTAAAATCTTCTACAGACTGATACATATCTATACACGTGTACATAGAGATAGGTGATGACGTCATCGTCATTATTTTTTTTTTTTTACAGAATTGGAGTTTTATTTTTCTGCCTCTTGCTTTTTTCCTTTTGGCAAGGGCTCATGGACTCCATCCCTGCAGGCTCTGACAGAGTCCCATGTCACTCCTGCCACGTGTCTCCCGCTGTTCCCCAGCCTTCCTCTTCCGGCTGACGCGTTGTGCTTCGGGTCCAGTCCCCGCCCTCCAGGAGCAAGTCTGCAGCAAACGTCGTGCGCGTGCGTCCTGGGGCCTCGGTGCTTGTACTTTGTGGCATAGATGTCGGGTGTGGAATTACTAGGCAGAGGACACCACGTTTTCGCTATTGGTAGCTGTGGTTAGATTGGCTCAAATTGGCTCCCAAAGCACTTCTGGCTCCTGCCACCACCGTGGCGCCGTGTGGCGGTGCCTCCCCTCTGTCTGCGGTGGCGTTCCCGTTCCCTGTACCGGTCTCTCGTTGCTTCTGCCTTGGTGTCGTCTTAGAGCGACCTTCCTTGGCTCCGAGGCTGTTCAGACGTTCACTGTGTTTTCTTACAGCACTTCTGTGCTTTCACTTTTTATACGTAAAACCTGAATCCAGCCGTACGTTATTTAACCAGAGGCTATGTAGGTCCCGTGACGGTGCCATAAAATGGCTAGAGCTTGAATTACATTTTTTTGTTGAAAGTGCACGAAAGGCACTTAATATTTTTAAAAATCAGATTACAACTGTTTTTCGACATTTCCAGAAAGTTGCTTTCTCACACACACATCTGCCCTCCTAAGAGAAAGTTATTAGGACCGGTTGACCCCCCCTCCCACTTTTGTGTTCTGCTTTGAGATTATTTCTAATAACAGGAAAACATAAATGTTTTTGTCTTTGGTTGACCTGCGTCCTTCCCATGTTTTGACGTTTTGACGAAGCATTAACAGGTTACGGTTTGTTTAAGAACTTGGAGGAAATTGTTGATTCAATTGATTCGACTCCAGTCTCAGTAATAGATGTAATAAGTATATTGGACCATTTTGTAATAGCTGTTTTAAAGCCTTTGTCAGATAATGCCAACATCTGTATCATCTTGTATCACCTTTGGTGTCCTTTAATTGTCTTTTCCCATGTGATTTGAGATTTTTCTGCTTCTTTATGTGTCTAGTAATTTGAGGCTGTATCCTAGACATTTTGAACATACTGTTATGATAGTTTAGGAATCCCATTAAAATGTTGATATTTTTGTTTTAGTAGGCCATCAACCTGGTTAGGTTCAAGCTGCAAGTTGTGACCTGCCTTCCACGAGCTGTGGTTCCAATGTATGTTCAGTTTTCAAAGCCTTCGTGGACCAGTTCAGATATTCCCAAGTGATGGCCACCCAGGAGTCAGTCTAGGAACTGAGCTGTGGTCTGTCTGTTCTGTTCTCAAGCCCTCGGTATGCCATTGAGGGTGATACCTCCACATGTGCCGCTCGAGGCGGAGCCCAGTGGTTTATAAACAACCCTTCGATGCCGTTTGCCCAAGCCCCTCCCTCTCTGTGGTCTCCCTAGTTAATTTCTGGTTCTTTGGCACTCCCCCCCCCCTTCTTTTGCTCTTCCAGCTAGAAATCTGAGGCTTTAATATTCCTATTCTGCTGCACACTTTACGCCACTGGTCCCATGTCTGGGACCAAGTGGAAGGACCAAGAGGAAGAAATGATGAATTGCAAATTCTGGTCTGCTTCTCCAGTCTGCCTGCTGATGTTCATTTATCAGATTTTCAAATCGCTGCCCTATGTATTCTGCCCAGGTTTACAGCTGCCTTCAGTGGACTGTGCTTACAGTATCTTACCAGGAATAGGAAACTCAAATTCATTTTAACAACTTGATTGAGGTATCATTAACACACAATAAACTTCACATATTGCAAACAATTTAAGAAGTTTCTGTATACATATACGACCATGAAACCATCACCACGCTCAAGACAGTGAACATGTCCCCCAAAGTACCCTTGTGCCCCTTGTGATCTCGCCCTCCCCCACCCTGACCACCAGGTCCTCAGGCAACCACCGACTGGCTTTCCGTCACTATAGATTAGTTTGCATTTTCTGTAAAGAGTGTATCAGACAGTGTATAGTCTTTTTTCACTTAGGGTTATTTTCAGGTTCAGCCATGTTGTTCTGTGTTTCAGTACTTCGTTCCTTTTTATTGCTCAGTTGTATTCCTTCGAATCCGTGTAACATGACATGTGTATAAATTCACCTGTTGATCCATATTTGTGTTGCTTCCAGTTTGGGGATATTATCCAGTTTGAGTCATTATTACACATAGTCTTTATATGGACATACAGTTTCTCTTCTCTTGGGTAAGCACCACAGAGAGGGACAGCTGGGTCAAATGCTAGGTATATGTTTCACTTTTTAAGAAACAGCCGAACAGTTTTCCAAAGTGGTTGTACCGTTCGCCACTCCCACCCGCAGCGTATGAGAGTCCCACTTCCTCCCCATGCCCCCGG